CAATACAAGAAGGACATGGACCTGATGGAGAGGGTCCAGAGGAGGGCCACAAGGATGATCAAGGGGATGGAGCACCTCTGCTACAAGGACAGGCTGAAGGAACTGGGGTTGTTCAGCCTGGAGAAGAGGAGGCTCCGGGGTGACCTAATAGCAGCCTTCCAGTACCTGAAGGGAGCCTACAGGAAGGCTGGGGAGAGCCTGTTTAGAAAGGCCTGTAGTGACAGGACGAGGGGAAATGGCTTCAAGCTGGAGGGGAACAGATTTAGATTGGAGATTAGAAGGGGGTTCTTTACTGTGAGGGTAGTGGAGCACTGGAACAGGTTGCCCAGGGAGGTGGTTGAGGCCCCATCCCTGGAGATATTCAAGGAGAGGCTCGACGAGGCCCTGGGCAACCTGGTCTAGTTGGGGGTGTCCCTGCTGACTGCGGGGAGGTCGGACTAGATGACCCTTGGAGGTCCCTTCCGGCCTGGGAAATTCTATGATTCTATGATTCTAATATGTGATTTCCTAATACATGATTCTAAAATAACAAATTGCATTATTTACATTCTGTATTATTTGTCCTAAATTTCTGTACCCTAACACTTTTTTTTAAATCACTGGCAAGTAAACTTCTAAGAAACATATATAGTTTTCTTAACTAATGCCCTGTCTTGGCATCTTTACATCTCAGTTTATGACAGAGGAGTAACTGCCCTTTTTTGGGATGCAACCACTTTCAATTATTTTGACTCTCCAAGTTGGAAAGTCTCTTTGGCTAATGTTTGTCAGACTTACTCTTCTTGAGAAGCAGAGCATCTCCACAAAGCCTTGTAATCATTTCTCCAATTACATTCTGACTTGCATGTCACTGTTTAGCTCGAGTTAAATTTTTTTCAACTTCTGATTTGCATCAAAAATAGTTTGCTGTTGTTTCCTTACACTTCAACTCTCTAAAGCAGCTATACATTACTATCCAGCCATGTCTGATGGAAGAAGTTGTTTCTTTTTTTTTTATGGATAACTTGGCATGTATCCCAGCTTGTAGTGACGTTAAATAGACAAAAGTTTTTTCTAGGTATTAGGGGTTTTTCCCCCTTTGCTTTCAGTAGAAGAGAATCTGCATGAATTGAGTTGAAAGTGCAGTGAGCTCACGCCTGTACCACAGAATGACACTTAAACCAATATATCTGCATCTGTGTTTCCAGTTACAGACTGGAGTTTGCTGTTCACAACTCCTGAAAGCCTTCCTGTAGCCAAAAGCTGATAGAAGCCTTAATCCAGGTAACCAAAGTCTCTTCTTCCAGGGCTGCAGAATCAGGTCTTCATCAATCTCTGGGCAAAGTATGTAATTTACTATGGAAACCAGGATTTCCCTTTACATTCCAATGAAACTGCAACATTAATACTTTCTTGACAAGGCTTCATGCTAGTATTGATTTTCAAGGCCAGGAAAAAATAGGATGACTTAATAAAACATCCACACTTGAGGATGCAGCTTTCCAATAATAAAAATACTGAAGGAGCAGAAGTGAGCACCAGTGATGTGGGAATTAGAAAAGTGGGAAATTAAGTTTTAGTAAGATTCCTCCTTTGTTTGCAGCCACAGTAAACTCCTGGGGATGCCCCCCAAGTGCTGTTTGCTGTTTTAATGTAGCTATTTTACACTTAACGCTAGTGAGATTTAAAATCTTGAGCTGTGTTTTCATTTCTCTTCTGAAGTGGTTTTTTTTGTAAGCTTGGAATATTCCCCATGCAACCTCATATCAAATTCTAGCCGTTGCTGCTAACTTCACATGCTCTTACCAATCTCATCACTTTCTTGGTGCAGACTAGAAAGCAAGAAAAGTTCCAAGAACAGGTAACACATTAAATCCATGTATCAAAACAGAATCTTTAGTACGGTAAATACTATTTCACTTTTAACTTAAAAACCTAAACACAAAACACTCTAATTTTGACATCAATTAGCCTCTAGTCAGTACAACCACATATATATTTCTATCATAAAGCCTTTAGTCAGTACAACCACATATATATTTCTATCATAAAGCCTTTAGTCAGTACAACCACATATATATTTCTATCATAAGAGGTCTACACAATTTTGTCATTGCATTACTTAAAAACTTTCTCAGAAACAGCAATTTTTTTCTCTTAGCTGGTATGTCTACTATTAATTAACCCATAATGTGTTTCTAGCAAAAACGAGACAAAGCAGGGAGGTGTCACACACACCTTAATGTTCTCTTTAAATATCTTAAGTTCATTAATACTTTAATTCACGGGTATTAATAGCTTTTGCTGTTGTAATAGCAACTCTTTGCATTATGGTGGCATTAACTAATGCAGAATTGGTATTTCTGCACCATATTGAGCACATACAGCAACGAAACTAGACGTCTCCCAGATGTTTTCCTCCCCTTTCAGACCTTGTAGAACCATTCTACAAACTATGGCTTATACAGATTTATGGACACATCCACTGCAATAAATGTTCTTGTTGCCAGCCTCCTGTTTTGAGGCAGGAAGGTTATTTTTTATTCTGATATTCATGTAGCTTTTTCAGGGAGGAACTTCCACGAACAACATTCAGTCAAGACATTTCATATTTGAAACCTCAGTATAGTCAATACCTATCCTGAAGTCTAGATGTTCCAAGAACTCTTCAGTGATATAAAAACATATAGCATTCATGATCTTGTATTTCAAACCTCTTCCTAATAGAGCTGTTAGTGTAAAACAAGCACATGGTTAACGCTTCTTAGTTTGTGGGGCATTTATCTGGGTGGCTTTCTTTGTGTTAGAAAAGTAAAGCTGTAAAACCAGGCTATAAACAGACATACTGAATGATATAAGCCTTAAAAAAAAAGTTTACGAAGTTGCATTTGTTACATCTGTTTAAACTGCCCTATCACAAATGCCAAATACCTGTATATAATTAATTATACCAGATGGATTTCTGCCTCACTGAGGCTTAGCTACTAGCCTTGCATTATTCTTGTTTAAACATTTACCAATGAAACCTGTGTACTTTACTAGACAATGAATGTCCTTTTCAGACATTATCCTTTAAAAACAAAAGCTATAATTGAAACTTTAGAGGAAAATCATGTAATGGAAATGTCCTTCAGTTCCCTTCTAATTAATGGCACTGTGCGTAAATACAAGCTGAGCTACTCATTTCCTCAAGACAATGCCTCTCGAAGTATAAGACATTATCTCCCAGAAAATCTCTACATTAAACTGCTTCTGGCTTGTGCCACTTCAGACCACTTCTATCCTATTGTCTTCCCAATTAGTTCATAGGACACCTGGCCTTTTTTTTTTTTTTTTTTTAAATCGATGGTTTTGAGAGTAACGTTAACCTCATGCTTTGCACATGCAGAGCTCTACATCCACACAAAGTTCACAAGTCTGTTTATAGCAGCCGACAGTTACTGTGCAGTATTTGGTTGAAAAGGCTACAACACAGGACACAGAGACTTCCAAATCAACTCTGTCCAAATCTACTGAGCACACCAAGAGAACTCCTATACAGAAGTATTGCTGTCTCTGGTCAAGAACACATGTTGGATCTTTTTCCTTTTTAACCTTAATTAGACAAAAAAAGACGGTCCAGAGTCCAACAGCTCTTTTGTTTGGTATAACCATGACGTTAACCTGTAATAAACCATTCTCATTTTAGCTTTCAGCTGGCATAAGTTTATGGACCTTTGATATGCATACTCACCTGAGCAGTCCTGTAGATTTGAGGCAGCGAAGTTAGGTACCTATGTGAACATATATACAAGCAAGTTTTTTTGTTAGCTGGACTGAAGGAATCACGATTTATTCAAAGAGTTTATCTGAAACAAAAATGTGTAAATTCATACCAGTCACTGAAAATGTTTCCAGAGTTATGCAACAATTATTTAATAAACTTGTCAATGTATTGAACTTTCAAATATATATATTTAGATAGTCAATGACAAGAGTCTCTTTTTTTTAGCACCTAATTCAATTTAGTCCATATTCTTCATTGCATGATGCGGTACAATTCCATAAGGACAGTAACCGTCCACTGTACATCATTCAGCTGGCAGTACTATAGCTATACTGCATTCATCTGTTCTTATCATTTAGTCTATTTCCTAAGCAGTTTTGTAGACTGCTACCCAAACTGCATTTTGGTGAACCAAATTGTTTATTTTTCCTTCGTAAGAAGTTAGATTACCGATAAACAGCTTTTGGGCTGTTAATTGAGTTTTACTATTCAGTGTATTGAAAAATGAACTAGTGAGGCTCTTCTGAAGAAACTAACCCACCTCCTCTCCTACATGACTAAGTTTCACATTTTGCGGGAAACAAACAGAATATTTGTAAACAGAGCAGTAGTTTTTATTGCACTAGAGAATGCTTTCCTTGATGAAGACTTGAGAAATTGCAACAGATGACCACACTCCTACCACCTCAGAGAAAATTCCTCTCTCGCGCAGTGTCAGCAGTGAGGGATGAACACTGCAGCCAGAATTCCAATCAAGTTCCTGCATGTGCTGTTTCCTAATAGCTGTCCCCAGCCTGCTCCTTTTCTGGGGCCCTACAAATTGCCCTTCGGGGATATCTGCTTTTTCCATTGACTAGACACAGTGGCTTAGAGTGGAATCCAGGCTGTTTGCTTGTGGCCCTTGAAGCTCAGTTTTCTCAGAGGCAACAGAAGTAAGGGAATATGGCACATGTTCAAGTTCAGAAGCTGAAAAGGAAACAGTTTAACACAGTAAATAAACCTTACAAAACTCTACAAATACAGCATTTCACGGAATGATGTAATGAGAAAATACACATGGCTCTTGCATAAAGACCACTGACTAGATAGCATTGTTTGAGATTTTTTAATTTTCAGAAGATTCAGTACATATAAAAAAGTGTCAACCATTCAGCAGTAAAAAAAAAAAAAAAAAAATTCTTAGACATTATGAACCGGAATGATGTAATGAGAAAATACACATGGCTCTTGCATAAAGACCACTGACTAGATAGCATTGTTTGAGATTTTTTAATTTTCAGAAGATTCAGTACATATAAAAAAGTGTCAACCATTCAGCAGTAAAAAAAAAAAAAAAAGAATTCTTAGACATTATGAACAGAACATCACTAGTATCTATTACCAGGAAGCATATGTCAGGCTGTTATTATTTGAATAATGAAATGTTTCTTCTCTCGCATCAAGTGGCACTTTAAAATATTAAAATATTCTGGACAAAATACAATCCTGTAAAATTCCTAAGTATAACTTAATCAAGATGCTGCTATACAGCACCTCTGCAAGATGCATAAAGTACGCAAAATAAGTTCCTAGTTTTAGGAATTCAGTTCTAGGTATCTCTAGTTTGTATTAGGGGAAACAAAGATTTAGTCCATCTTTCTCTTTTTTCCTTTAGCAGGAGTTTTGGAGGTATGTTCATTTTCAGCGTTTGGTTCCCAGAGTGCATTTCTTACAAATCTAGAAGCAGCTCCTTTGTCCAGTTTGGATGCCTTTTTCTTGTCTGCTATTTCTTTGACCTTGTTCATGTATGTTCTTATTCTCTCCTAGGGGGAGAAAAAAAAAATAGTATTTCACACCATTCTCCCAAAATTGCTGCTAAAATAAAACCAGTGAGTAGCTCTTCACACTGTACATTTCTATAACTATAATATCTAGAAAAATAGCATCATTTGAATATATATACCAGGCTCTTTGCAAACTTGAGGCTTCCCCTTTAGTAGGTTTTCCTTCATAGGTACTTACCATACTAATATTTGCATGACATCCACTGTCTCAGGAACATACAATCCTACAGAGATGAAGACTGCATCTGATTTACAGTGAGACAAGAATTGTTCTTCCAAACAAAGTTAGATAACAAAATACTGAACTCAATTTGGAGTTTGGTCTACATAAAGATGGTAAAATAGTATTTAGATATTTGACATAGATGAACTATGCTGACTACTGTCTAAAAAATAAAAAAACAAACCAAAAGAAAAAAAATTCAACATGTCCAAGCAAAGCCAAAAAGCATCTTAGACAAAATCAAAGATTTTACAAGCATTACACATGCAGCTACACAGAACTCTTACGGTTAAGATCTTGAAATGGTCAAGGGTTCTTATCAGTGAACCTATCTAAGGCACCCTGATGAATTTCTAGCTGTACCAGAAGTTCCTTTTATGACCATCAATAAATAAGCCTGTTTCCACTACCATTCCATAAAGCAAGGGGATACTTTCTTGCCATCTTAGCCTTCCAGAGTCATTTGGTGACTAGCGCTTGGATGGCTTGGATTCAGCCACACCTCAGTATACACTTCCAGTTTAACCATCTCAGTTATGTGCCTACATAACTCATCCTCATCTACTTCTGCAATCAATAAAGAAAATTACTTTGAGAGGGTAACTAATCCCCCCCCTCCCAAGATGAAAATAATCCTCTGTTAAGTGCCTGCTTCTCTCCACTGACTAGAGAGGACACTTAATTCTGTAAAATACATGAAAGTTTGGTTGATAGATCTCGTGTATTTAGCCTAATACAGCCTTCAACTCTAGGGCCTTTAGGTGTTATTGTAATACAAATAACAGTAATATATATATACATACACATATATATAGTGCTCTACCTGATAACCCACACTAATCATTTGGGTAACGGAACGTTTATGGATACTGCTAACCAAATAAATGTTCCTATCGTGTAACCCAAACATTTCTCCCATAGCCACTGGCAGCTTTTGAATCTGAAACAGAAATTAGGAGACCTGCACTACTGAACTCATTTTCAGTTCTTCACTGACAATTATAAGCGACTGATTTGTCACAAATTTGGCCACTCTTTCCATATCAAAAACATAGCTTTAATGAGGAGAGCTTTACACGGTCTGAAATCAGGATAGACTGTAGTATTTCTTTGGTGACTGAGATGGCTAATGAGAACAGATGGCAAACCTACATGTATCAACAGGGGGAAAAGAAGCTCACAAACGTCAATATGACAAAAGAAATGAACTCTGAGAGCTTGAATGTGAGTTTTATTAATACAGTTTGAATCCCTGTGTATTCCCTGTATGTACACAAGGAGAGCAATTCTAAAAACAATCGTGACAGAACAGTCTTCTTTTATTCCCTTTCCACATGAATAAGAACATCACAATGCTCTTGGAAGGAAGGAAGGAATGTGCTTTCATTCACCTTGATACTTGGAAAAGAGAACTGGATAAGAATCTAACCTATGATAATTCACCCATTCTTCAGAGTTAAAATGACTGGCAATTGTGAAGTAAAATACCAGCATAAAATATCCACAGCAGAAGAGATAAAATTTATTTTTTAGTACCGCTAAATTAACACAATATTCAGACACTATATAATATAGGAGGAACAAGAAACTGACTGAAAGCTCATGAAATATTAACTGATCCAATTTTTAATATGATACAGTCTAGACTACTGAAAACCTCACAAAATTAAAAATAGAAGTATCCTTGTTATTCAGGCTAGCTCTCCACATTTTTCAGTCCTATCTTCCATTCTGCTGGTTATGTAAGGATTACATTTAAGCTAAGTATTTTACGATTGCCCAGATTTAATATTTTCATTTATACTGGAATTAAAATGAGTAGCTATAAGTTTTGATTTCTATTTTTTCTTCAGGCTAAATGATTTGATTTTTTTAAGTCAGCAGAATTTTCAAGATAGCTGGCCTTCTACACCGTAGTCATGCATCTAAACGGAATATAAAGACAAACCTAAAAGATTTATTATAGGTTGTAAATATGTCACTAATGCAGAATTACTGGACAATACACATACAACTGGTGCCAAAAAAGCTTTTAGCTTTGTTGCTGAACTGGATTCTTTACTGCTGAGAAAATGAATTAATGGAGGACTTGGAAAGGGGAGGGGGGATTCTTTCCCGTCTTCGCTAGTAAATCAACCACACTATACTTTTAGAGTTCTACAAAAGTAAGAAAAGGTAGCCTCAGAGATTAACATGATTCCAAGTATTTGTAAGAAAAAAATGCCATACTGGAAGTTATAAATTATTATCAGACATGTAACGTTTTTCCATTTAACAGATACAAGTGAAAAGCTGCTCTATTCAGAATCCAATTCTCAAAGGTGGAGAAAAGAAAAGATGATACCATTCATCTTCTTTTCTAATTTCAGCAGGCTCTACAACTTTGCTTTAAACAGTAATGTTTGGAACTAAAAATACGTCTTTCTTAATTTAGACAGCCCAGCAGGGCATATGAACAATTATATAACACCACATAGCATATGCACACTATTATGGCAACACAGCAATTTTAAACATAGATATAAACATTTTTTTTACTTCTGTGTGAGTTAGCTGTCCTGGACAAGTAAAATATGGCAGTGCACACAGTGTAAGAATCTTACCAGTTCTTGTTTCACTGGGTGTTCCTTTGGATTGATTCCCTGAGTAGCCAAGTATACTAGAAGAAAAAAACGTTGTTTTTTTTTAAAATGAAGGCTGTGATGACTGAGGACCCAGTCAGTCAGATACAAAAAAATCTAGTTTCCACATAAACTTATTAATAAGAATTGAAGTTAACTGTATTGTTAAGTATCTGACAAACTATTATCATCAAATATTGCAGTTAGAAAAAAAAAATCTAGCTTTCAGTTAAAAAGACAGAAAAGGCTGAACAGAAAAGGACAGAAAAAACCAGAAAGAAACACTCTCACACATGTACAAAGTCAGCTTTGTAAATATCAATTTTTGCTTTGGAGTTTCAACATCATTTATCTTACAGATGGCAATAATCTGGGTCCTCAGGGTAATTACAAGTTTCTAATTATTTGGCTATGAAATACGATTATTTAATGGTTGCAGCTGTCTACAAGGTGTTCAAATGGCAATCATAAATACTACGTTTTCCTCCTACCACATACTTACCCCAGAACATGGAATTTAATGTGTACACTGAAACCAAATCCATCTTTGCTTGCTCAAGAGGCTCCAACTAGAATGAAAAAAAAAAAACAAAACACACTACATTTGTACAGTTTTAAGCACTTAAGATTTTAGTGATAGGCACATTTTATAATTGTGAATGTATTCGTAAAAAAATACACACTGAGTGAGCACATTTTTGCACTGCAAGTTCACTGAGACCATGGCTATGCCTGTTTCCCTGCTGTCACAGAACCATTCTCTCCTCTGCAAGTATTCATGGCAAAAAAAAAAGGTCTTAAGATCGCAGAAGCTCTAAGGTGACTACAGTGTGCCACAGACAATCAATGAATATTAACACTACACATGGCAGACTGTGTGCACAACGCATGCTGGAATACTTAGGGCTGTAAAGCAAAGGAAGAATAAAGGTAATGAGGGGTTTTTTTTCCTCGACTGTCAAAGTCAATTTATTATTTTAGTCCTATAGGATTTCCAGAAACTCTGATAACATCATTGTACAGCTCACTAGTTCTAACATGGATACTGTCAAAAGATCAGGGTTGTCAAGACTGTTTTCTTCATAATTTATTTGTGTTAGAAATCCTCAGAGGATAAAGAAAGTTCCCTCATGTGCTGGCTTTTTCTTGCCCTAAAGAAAGGAAGTACGTGTTAGGCTTTAAATGTTAAAAGATAAAGAGGCTTGTGTGAAGTCTTCAGGCAGTACCTTGCTCTGTCTTAATGCCCTGAAAAAACCCCACATTTTACAGACTTGTGCTTGTAACACAGCTGGAGGAGACAGCTCAGGTTTTCAAGCATCGGGTTCTGCAAGCCTAGACTTCTAGAATCAGATCAGTTCTCACTGCTTTCACTTCACCTTTACATCCTCTGGGTATAGCAAGTCGTGGGTATAGTTTGTTCTGGGTATAGTTCGTTGTGAAAAGGTTTCAGACAAAAACGTGAATGACCTCTCTGTTATGAAAGACCACTCAGCATGCACTTTCAGGAAGGTCAGGAATAAGCTAGAGTGTCCTCTACCTGAATGACTCACTGGTAGAATCATAACTTTTCAGCTTGGAAGAGCATATATTTCGTTGCTTTGTTTGTAAGACTGTCTGGGTATCTTAGAAATAGAAGAATTTCAAATATTAGGTATCAAGGGTAGGAAGCGTCATATTTGTTAGTTCTCTGTGCAGTGGCCAGCCTCATAGTCCCTTTTATTTCAGTTCAGGTTCCCAGGTATTCTTGCATTAATAGCAAAAAGGTTGTCAAAAGGAAGATTATTTACCTTTTGGAGAAGCTCACTCCTGGAAACTGACATCATTGTCTTCAGCATCTCATCTACAGAACCAAGAGATTTTTCAAATGCTGCAAGATAATCATGGATTTCTGTGGGGTATTCTTCTGTATTAATATCATCTTCTGACATTTCCATCTGAAAAGAGGAAACAAAACTAATAATCCTTTTCATTAAGTCCCTACAGAGTCAAAAGACTGTATTTTACAATACAGAGCATTAGCATTCATTCATTCAACATTATAAGAAATGCCTGCTTCTGAAGATTTCTAGCAGGTGATGTCAACAGTGACACAGTTAAAGGTCCTATAATTTTAATTTCAGAGATATCTCCTAACTGCTGTGCAAAATGGCATGAAGGAGCATTACAAATGACATGACTGTAGTACCTATTCTTATAACAGTCCCAAACCAGCATTTAGCTTTTATGGTCTGTGATAGAAAGAAATTATTTGCTTGTTTAAAAGAAGTGCTCTATAAATCACAGCATATAAAGAGCTACACCAAGCAACAGGCAGGACACTGGAAAAAAAGAAAATGGGGATATGGCTGCAGCCTGTCTTAGGAACAGACATTACTTCAGCTTTAAAGCGGTTATGCAGCATCAGTTATGTCAGGGTCAGTTACATCTTCCAACGCTGAATTTAGGACTAGGTCCAAGGAATTGTTCTTGTGAACCCTCTATCCAGTTTTCTGAAGTCTCTACGGGGTATTATAATCTGCAGTATAAGTCTACCAGTAACGAAGCTGAGTTGATTTTGGGATTTCAGAATACTCTGGAAATCTTGTAGACGTATCTATGCAGAGCGACTGTGAGATAAGCAAGGATGTGAAAAATCCCAGAGCTCTCCCTTTTTTGATCCCAACATTCACGGTTACACAGCACGGCTACTGCCAAGCCATCTGGCAGCTGGCTTACAATCGGTATCTTTAATTCATCTCAAATCATCAATCACATATTATCTTGGGGAGTTAATGTTACTTAAAGCCAGGTTATTTTCTACAACTTCCGACTGAGCAACAACTTTCGGGACGTTATAAGGATAGAAGAGAAGAAATACATAACTTTTCTGCCCGTTGTCTTAACTGCATCAAGAACAGTGAGAGCACCTGGGACCACTACAGTCCGTCCTACTTAGTATGAGTGTAATAATGCCACTACCCAGCCACTGAGTACAGAGGGTGGAAAAGTAAATTGGAGAAACTGCCCTCTGAAACTTCCATCTACAAACACCAAGCCACAAAGCCAGCGCAAACAGCAAGGAAACAGCAAACAGCTGTCACATCACTGGAGTTTATTTTAGGTAAAGATTTGATCTTTCCCTTTTCCTGGCAAGAGCGTGGTGTGGGTGAGAGAGGTTTCTTTTTATTTATCTTGTCTCCTGGAGGTCAAACACGAGGCAGATTGGGAAGAAAATAGTGCAGAGCTATTCAAGTTTGTCTGCAACTCCAGTTTTTAACCGAAACCAGTATGATTCCGGAAATACGACCGGCCAGTTAACAAGCCCAATTTCACTGTTGGCGTTTACATAGTTTAGAATTATTATCCTACTCAGCTGCATGACTTTTCATCCTGGTCAGAGCTGTTTTTCAGATTGAGTACAGAATCACAACGCTAACCATGGTATGTTGATGGTCCCCCAACCTACCCCAGCATGTAGCTCACATGGGTAAATACTATTTTGGTAAGCTGCAGCAGACCGAGGCAAGAAAGCTGAGCTGGACCTACAAGGTGCTGCCCACAGAAAGGCAAAATACCACTACAATTATTTCTGCCATTTAGGATAGTAGTGTTTGTGTTTCATTCTGTCCTGACCACCTGCATTTTAATCACCCTTGTTGGGTTGATTAGAAGAGTCCAGCAACAATGTTTGTTGTTAACT